TCTGAGTTCATTCTGACTCCAACGAGACAAAACCATTTAGTCTTAAATCAAAAACAGAGAGAGACCAGACAGAGACCAGAGAGAGACCAGAGAGAGAGACCAGAGAGAGACCAGAGAGAGAGACCAGAGAGAGACCAGAGAGAGACCAGAGAGAGACCAGAGAGAGAGACCAGAGAGAGACCAGAGAGACCAGAGAGAGACCAGAGAGAGACCAGAGAGAGAGACCAGAGAGAGACCAGAGAGAGTGACCAGAGAGAGACCAGAGAGAGACCAGAGAGACCAGAGAGAGACCAAGAGAGAGACCAGAGAGAGAGACCAGAGAGAGACCAGAGAGAGAGACCAGAGAGAGAGACCAGAGAGAGACCAGAGAGAGAGACCAGAGAGAGAGACCAGAGGGAGACCAGAGGGAGACCAGAGAGAGAGACCAGAGAGAGAGACCAGAGAGAGAGACCAGAGAGAGACCAGAGAGAGACCAGAGAGAGAGACCAGAGAGAGACCAGAGAGAGACCAGAGAGAGACCAGAGAGACCAGAGAGAGACCAGAGAGAGACCAGAGAGAGACCAGAGAGAGACCAGAGAGAGAGACCAGAGAGAGAGACCAGAGAGAGACCAGAGAGAGTGACCAGAGAGAGACCAGAGAGAGACCAGAGAGACCAGAGAGAGACCAGAGAGAGAGACCAGAGAGAGACCAGAGAGAGACCAGAGAGAGAGACCAGAGAGAGAGACCAGAGAGAGAGACCAGAGAGAGAGACCAGAGAGAGAGACCAGAGAGAGAGACCAGAGAGAGAGACCAGAGAGAGAGACCAGAGAGAGACCAGAGAGAGACCAGAGAGAGACCAGAGAGAGACCAGAGAGACCAGAGAGAGACCAGAGAGAGACCAGAGAGAGAGACCAGAGAGAGACCAGAGAGAGTGACCAGAGAGAGACCAGAGAGAGACCAGAGAGACCAGAGAGAGACCAGAGAGAGAGACCAGAGAGAGACCAGAGAGAGAGACCAGAGACAGACCAGAGAGAGAGACCAGAGAGAGAGACCAGAGAGAGAGACCAGAGAGAGAGACCAGAGAGAGACCAGAGAGTGACCAGAGAGAGAGACCAGAGAGAGACCAGAGAGAGAGACCAGAGAGAGAGACCAGAGAGAGACCAGAGAGAGACCAGAGAGAGACTAGAGAGAGACCAGAGAGAGAGACCAGAGAGAGACCAGAGAGAGACCAGAGAGAGACCAGAGAGAGACCAGAGTTGCCGTAGTAACAGCGCCTGGGAACCCGTCTCCAGATGTTGATGCTCGGCTTGGTCAGGACCAGAGCTGGAGGATTTAACCTTGTGAGCATGTTTTTAGTGGTATGAGAAACCGTAGTACCTGGAGGAAACCTACGCAAGCACGGGGAGAACATGCAAACTCCACTCAGAAAGACCCTGTTCCAAATGAGCTCAGATTAAGACACATTTTACTACATTTTGAGCCATTTTGTACTTATTTTTCCGTCACTTTTTGCAGTGTAATGGGCTAATGTATTTATTATCTTAATCTGTGAATTAAAATATTTCGTTCTGTGTCTGAATATTTAATCCTTGCTTCATTTCCTTGTCTCCTTTTCACATAATCCACAACTTTATCGCCAAAAGTACACAACTAAGATTTTTGTTTTTTTGTTTTTATCTCTTGTTTGTCCCAGTTTTGTGTTTTTTTTGTAATTCTTCTTTTTCTGTTGTTTTTAATAAATAAAAAACTATGGACCGTGTTATTGTGTCCTTCATAAAGATTAATAATAATAATAATAATAAGATTAACGCATTGTGAATTAAGATAATCTCATTCTGTCATTTATCGTTTTTATAACATTTTGATTTACCGCGTACAGAATGTTTTTGTTTTTTTCCTGTTTTATAAAATGCGCTACATAAAAAATAAAGTAGAATTTCACTCTTCCGCGCAGCCTCGTCCTGACAGACTCCACAACCACCGCAATAATCTCACATCATCCATCACTTCAAAGGTAAAGAGGATTGTCTGCTTCATCAAGGCCATTGGTCCTCCCACCTGTCAATCATCCTGCTGTCCAATAGGGAGAGTTTACCTTTAACATCTCGTTACAAAATACTTTTTTCACTTATTTTTCAGATACTTTTGTTACTTCTGCTTCACTTGACTCTCCTCACTCTCTCTCCTCTTCCTCTCCTCTATCCTCTCCTCTTCTCTCTCCTCTTCTCCTCTCCTCACTCTCTCTCTTCTCTCCTCCTCTCTCTCCTCTCCTCTTCTCTTCTCTTCTCCTCTCCTCTCTCCTCTCCTCCCCTCTCTCCTCCTCTCCTCACTCCTCTCCTCTTCTCTCTCCTCTTCTCCTCTCCTCACTGTCTCTCTTCTCTCCTCCTCTCTCTCTCCTCTCCTCTCTTCTCTCCTCCCTCTCTCTCTCTCTCTCTCCTCTCTCTCTCTCCTCTCCTCCTCTCTCCTCCTCCTCCTCTCCTCCTCCTCTCTCCTCTCTCCCTCCTCTCCTCCTCACTCCTCTCCTCTCCTCACTCCTCTCTCCTCCTCTCCTCTCCTCCTCCTCTCCTCTCCTCCCTCCTCTCCTCTCCTCACTCCTCTCTCTCCTCTCTCAGTCACCCTCTTTCCTCTCTCTCTTCTCTCTCTCCTCTCCTCTCCCTCTCCTCTCTCTCTCTCCTCCTCTCCTCACTCCTCTCCTCTCCTCTCCTCCTCTCCTCTCCTCTCCTCTCCTCCCTCCTCTCCTCTTCTCCTCTCTCTCTCCTCTCCTCTCTCCTCTCTCCCTCTCCTCTCTCTCCTCTCCTCTCTCTCTCTCCTCTCCTCCCTCCTCCTCACTCCTCTCCTCTCCTCACTCCTCTCTCTCTCCTCTCTTCTCCTCTCTCCTCTCCTCTCCTCCTCTCCTCACTCCTCTCCTCTCTCCTCACTCCTCTCTCCTCCTCTCCTCTCCTCTCCTCCTCTCTCCTCTCCTCTGTTCTATTCTGGGATAAAACTAGAGCACACTTTGCACCTACCTTCACTCTTCTGTCCATCTTGCTTCTGTCATTTTTATCACTTCCTCATTCAAAAAGAAAAAAGAAAACCCCGAACAGTCCAAACTCCACAGAGAGACGCCCCCCCGTGTGACCCCGCGGGGGGAGGGCGCACTTTTCTCGGGCGTAGGTGGTCCGCGGCTCTCGGGAGATGGATCCGCAGTCGGAGCGGACACTGCGGGCTGAAGGAGGTGTCCACAGCGGGAGGAGAGTGGAAGTGAGGCGGGCGGCAGCAGGAGAGAGCCGCGCTGAGAGCCCCGGAGCTCGGCCGTGATTGGTTTGATTCACCGCTGTGTGTGGCCTCTCTCTCCGTCATTACACTCAGCCTCACGTTAATGGGCTGTGGGGATGACTACAACTCCCAGCATGCACCGGGGCATGGCCTGAAGCTGCTCAACAGTCACCGTTCTAACTTGTAACCGGTCTAACATTTTAGTGAGATATATTTACTAAAAACTACATAAATTATAATTATTTTAAAGTTTTTGTTGCTTGAATGTAGTTTGTCATAAGATTATTTTACTAGTTTTAAAATTCTTCATAATATTAGAGAAAAAAGTCTGAGCAGTGAGTTTTTAAGTTTATTTTGCATATTTTTTCTTATTTCCAGACTTTTCTTGATGATATAAGTTTGTGATGCTGTTCTTTAAGAAAACATTTTGGGCTAGTTTTATTATTACTATTATTTTCAGAAATCTTAAGTTATCTTTTCTTGTTCTATTTTAAGCAATATTTTATTTATTTTCATATTTTTTTCAGTGTAAATGTTTTCACTGTAACATTTTTATTTTAATAGAAAATTTACCCATAGGTACAAATGGTCACCTGAACTTTAAAAACACGATTTAAGTAGCGGCTTGTTTGTACAGTGGACCGGGACCAGGAGAGTAAAGTGGACCGGGACCAGCAGCAGCTTGTTCGTAAAGTGGACCGGGACCAGGAGAGTAAAGTGGACCGGGAGCAGCAGCGGCTTGTTCATAAAGTGGACCGGGACCAGCAGCGGCTTGTTCATAAAGTGGACCGGGACCAGAAGCGGCTTGTTCATAAAGTGGACCGGGACCAGAAGCGGCTTGTTCATAAAGTGGACCGGGACCAGAAGCAGCTTGTTCGTAAAGTGGACCGGGACCAGGAGAGTAAAGTGGACCGGGAGCAGCAGCGGCTTGTTCATAAAGTGGACCGGGACCAGCAGCGGCTTGTTCATAAAGTGGACCGGGACCAGAAGCGGCTTGTTCATAAAGTGGACCGGGACCAGAAGCGGCTTGTTCATAAAGTGGACCGGGACCAGAAGCGGCTTGTTCATAAAGTGGACCGGGACCAGAAGCGGCTTGTTCATAAAGTGGACCGGGACCAGCACGGCTTGTTCATAAAGTGGACCGGGACCAGCGGCTTGTTCATAAAGTGGACCGGGACCAGAAGCGGCTTGTTCATAAAGTGGACCGGGACCAGAAGCGGCTTGTTCATAAAGTGGACCGGGACCAGGAGTGGCTTGTTCGTGCCTCTCGCAGCTCGTTGTGGTCGTGGGTCACACAGCTCGGTGTAAACTGAATATTTGATGGCCCATCTGTGTTCGGAGCAGGACAGATGACCGGCGATCATCCACATCCATAATTCACCAGCTCAGCCCGACTCTCACTCTCTCACCGCATTCACTGGATCACCCTCAAGAGCAAAGCATTATGGGTCGGAGGCTGCAGCAGGAGTCCGAGGAGACAAAGCACTTTCATCTTTTACATCAGGGGTGTCCAAACTTATTAGTAAGATGGCTGCTTTAGTTAAACGAGTGGATTCCAGAGGTTTAGAGATTTACAACAAGGTGTAGCATGACTGTGTTGATGGAGCTGAAGTTGGCTGGATGATACTGTCAAAGGGCCTCAATGGGGACGTTGTGTTAGCAGCAGAGGGCCGTATGTGGCTCCCGGGCCTGAGTTTGGACTTGCCTGGTTCACATTCAAGGCAAGGAGAGTTTATGTGTTTAGCACGGTTCATAAAAGGTTCATCGTAAATAATCACCTGGATTTAAACATCATCAGAGAAGAATCCTGTCTCACATCTTCAGGAGGATTGTTCCAGATTTTAGCTGCGTGAATCTGAAACGCAGCCTCCACATGTTTAGTCCTGACTCTGGGACCAGCAGGAGGCCAGTCCCTGTGCTCCTCAGAGTCCCAGAAGGAGGCCAGTCCCTGTGCTCCTCAGAGTCCCAGCAGGAGACCAGTCCCTGTGCTCCTCAGAGTCCCCTCAGAGTCCCTGTGCTCCTCAGAGTCCCCGTGCTCCTCAGAGTCCCCCGTGCCCCCGTGCTCCTGGCTAATAGTCAGAGTCCCTGTGCTCCTCAGAGTCCCTGTGCTCCTCAGGCTTATAGTCCCAGGTGAGGCTAATAGTCGGGTGGTGAGGCTTATAGTCGGGTGAGGCTAATAGTCAGGTGAGGCTTATAGTTGGTGAGGCTTCAGGTGAGGCTTATAATCAGGTGAGGCTAATAGTCAGGTGAGGCTAATAGTCAGGTGAGGCTTATAGTCGGGCGCGGCTTATAGACGGATGAGGCTAATAGTCGGGTGAGGCTTATAGTCAGGTGAGGCTTATAGACAGGTGCGGCTTATATGTATTTTTTTCCTGTGTTACCAAAATAATTGACAGTTTCACAGAGGCCCAATTAAATAATATCTTTGTGTGAATATCTCAAATAATACATAGTTTTTTTGTTTTTTTGCACCGACATGAAAGTGAAAGTAGACCAGAGGTAGCCTGGTCTTACCGCACCATTGTACTCATTTCATTCTGGACTAAGGTCTGGATTTGCTCCATTGAGTTCTTTAACAGGTGGGAGGGGCTAACTCCTTTTGCAGATTGAAACCATTGGATCTGAGTTTACTGTGACGTATGTAATGAGCCTGAGTGAGTGAGGCATTTAGCCTAGCTTTAGCATGTAGCCTAGCTTTAGCCATCTCCTTTGCCGCTAACGGAGCCCGTGGGGAGTAGAGCCACAACATCTTTGCTTCAATAACATTTACTAAACATTCCTCTTGCTCCGGCTTCAGTTTCTTGATATTTGGATTGAACAGATTATTTTACTATCGCATTCTCCGACAAACTACAACCAGCAAATTCAGCACAAACTCTTGACGTCACCGACACCGACCTACAACACCCGCCTCCCCCGCTCTCTGATTGGTCGGAGGGGATTCAACCGAGGAAACTGCAGCCACTAGGATCAGACCATGGATCTACTATATTAACTGGATAGGGTATTACTAGCTTGTAGCTAGGCTTCCTCTGGGTACTCCGGTTTCCCCTACCACTAAAAATATGCACAATAGGTCTGGCATGTGCCTCCTGTTCGGCGACCCCGCTCCCATCTCTGTGTGGAATGAGAAGACAAATGAACCAAGAATAAAATTTGTAAACCGCTTTGTGACTCTGGTCTGTGAAAGGCGGTATATAAATAAAGATTACTTACTTACTTACTTATAGCTGAATAACTCATGTGCTCGGGGGATTCTCGCGGTACTGCAGACTGAACCAGACTAAATTCACGTGGGCTACCCAGAAATGTTCCCCATAGAACTCAATGCACATTAAAACAGCTCATCCTCAGCTGACAGAGAACCTGACAGAGAACCTACAGCTTTCATAAAGGTCAGATTTTGTGGGGATTTTAGTGTCCCTTGTCATCCTGAACTTTTTTTCTTCTTAAATCCTTCGGTTTTCTTTAAATCTACACTTTACTGCCACAAACTCTGCCCGTCTGGCTCTCGCTCTAACTCCCGCTCTGATGAACTGCTCTGATTGGTCAGAGCCGAGCCCCTCTGTGCACGTGCGTGAGACCTGGTGTGAGACCCACACACGCGTATTTGGCACAAAGCATCATGGGAGTTCATCCACTGCACAGAACCGGGAGGACCAGACGAGGCCCAAATACAGGCAAGTTTCCCAAAGATCTTTGAGAGTTTCAGGCAACTTCCGCTAATCTTTCAGCCCCCATGCTGTCACAAAGCGCCACTGAGCACAACCATTCATTTGAATAGGGCGCCATCTTGGATCGCCGGGGCTTGGATCAGACCCAGACGGTAAACGCAGGGAAATGAGAATTGACCCGAGTTTACGGATGGCTAAGGCTAAGATAGACCAGTAAATGTTGCTCACTCACAGTAAAAACATGTTTCATTAAAACAATGTGGACAGGTGAGGCTTATAATCCAGTGCGGCTTGTACAATGACAAAATTCTATCTTTTTAAAATAAATGTCACCTGCGGCTTATAGTTAGGTGCAGCTTATAGTCCGGAAAAATACAGTACATGTTTGTAAAAGCTGAGATTTACAAATACAATCAAAACAAATGGGGTTCCTTCGCCTGAAAAAGAAGTAGAGAGTCCCTGAGGTTCGATCCATGGTTTTATACAAAAATATCATGTTTAAAAATAAAACTTTGTTGAATTCGTCACAAATGCAAGTTCGTTTTGTTCATATTAGTCCAAGAGAATCCCCACTTTCTTGATGAGTCCTTTGTGTCTGGATTAGTCCGGGTTCAGGGTCAGATCCCGGTGTTGGTCTTGATCCAGTCCCTGAACTCTGTGACTCTGGTGTAGATTCCGGGTTTGTTCCTCTGGGCGCAGCCGTCGCCCCAGCTGACCACGCCTGCCAGGAAGCTCCTCCCCCCCAGGCCCTGCACCGACAGAGGGCCCCCGGAGTCTCCCTGAGGACACAGCACAACAAGGCTTTATAATCCATTCTATCTATATGGCACATCTTATAAAACATGATTCCAAAGCGCTGCACAGATGAAAGTAACGTGGTAAAACAGTTAAAATAAAATTAAAAAGGTTGAGAATTGTCTTGCAGTGCCTTAACTTCTCTGTTTTTATGTATTTATTGTCATTTTTTATTATGTTTTTATCTTTTACCTCCTGTCCTATGTTTGTACGAATGTGAGCAAGAGACTAATGCACAACTTCCTTTGGGATCAATAAATTATCTATCGTTTGGGTTAGGGTTAGGCTATCTATCTACAGGGCCTTTCTGAGTGGAGTTTGCATGTTCTCCCCATGCCTGCGTGGGTTTCCTCCAGGTACTCCGGTTTCCCCTACCACTAAAAACATGCTTAAATCTTCCAGCTCTGGTCCTGACCAAGCCGAGCATCAACATCTGGAGATGGGTTCCCGGGCGCTGTTACTACGGCGACCACTGCTCCTGACGTAAGCCTTAGCGGCATCAGGATGGGTCAAATGCAGAGGATTGAATTGGATTAATAAAGTGGACCTGTATGTATCTCAGAAAAGCCCCGTTCCAACCGGGATTCGAACCCAGGACCTCCTTGCTGAGAGTGCTAAACGCTGGATGAGGAGCTCACCTGACATGCATCGATGCCCCCCCGGAGGACCCCCGCACACAGCATCCTCTCTGTGACCGCAGACCCCTCCATCAGGGACTCACACACCGTCTGGTTCACCACACGCACTGAGGCCTTCTGTAGGGTCACTGCAGCAGCACCTGGAGGAAACACACACACAGAGAGAGAGTGAGACGTACACAGACACAGAGAGACACAGAGAGAGAGACAGAGAGAGAGACAGAGACACACACACAGAGAGACACAGAGAGAGACAGAGAGAGACACAGAGAGAGACACACAGAGAGACACAGAGAGAGAGTGAGACGTACACAGACACAGAGAGAGAGACAGAGACACACACACACAGAGAGACACAGAGAGAGAGACAGAGAGAGACACAGAGAGAGACACACAGAGAGACACAGAGAGAGAGACAGAGAGAGAGACACAGAGGGAGACATACAGACACAGAGGGAGACACACAGAGAGACACAGAGGGAGACACAGAGAGACACAGAGAGAGACACAGAGGGAGACACACAGAGAGAGACACACAGAGAGAGACACAGAGGGAGACACACAGAGAGAGACACACAGAGAGAGACACAGAGGGAGACACACAGAGAGAGACACAGAGGGAGACACACAGAGAGACACACAGAGAGACACAGAGGGAGACACAGAGAGAGACAGAGAGACACAGAGGGAGACACACAGAGAGAGAGAGAGACACAGAGAGAGAGAGAGACACACAGAGAGAGACAGAGGGAGACACACAGAGAGACACACAGAGAGACACACAGAGAGACACAGAGGGAGACACAGAGGGAGACACACAGAGAGACACACAGAGAGACACAGAGGGAGACACACAGAGAGACACAGAGGGAGACACACAGAGAGACACAGAGGGAGACACACAGAGAGAGACAGAGAGAGAGACAGAGAGACACAGAGGGAGACACACAGAGAGACACAGAGGGAGACACACAGAGAGACACAGAGGGAGACACACAGAGAGACACACAGAGAGACACAGAGGGAGACACAGAGGGAGACACACAGAGAGACACACAGAGAGACACAGAGGGAGACACACAGAGAGACACAGAGGGAGACACACAGAGAGACACAGAGGGAGACACACAGAGAGACACACAGAGAGACACAGAGGGAGACACACAGAGAGACACAGAGGGAGACACACAGAGAGACACAGAGGGAGACACACAGAGAGACACAGAGGGAGACACACAGAGAGACACACAGAGAGACACAGAGGGAGACACACAGAGAGACACACAGAGAGACACAGAGGGAGACACAGAGGGAGACACACAGAGAGACACACAGAGAGACACAGAGGGAGACACACAGAGAGACACAGAGGGAGACACACAGAGAGACACAGAGGGAGACACACAGAGAGACACAGAGGGAGACACACAGAGAGACACAGAGGGAGACACACAGAGAGACACACAGAGAGACACAGAGGGAGACACACAGAGAGACACACAGAGAGACACACAGAGAGACACAGAGGGAGACACACAGAGAGACACACAGAGAGACACAGAGGGAGACACACAGAGAGACACAGAGGGAGACACACAGAGAGACACAGAGGGAGACACACAGAGAGAGACAGAGAGAGAGACAGAGAGACACAGAGGGAGACACACAGAGAGACACAGAGGGAGACACACAGAGAGACACACAGAGAGACACAGAGGGAGACACAGAGGGAGACACACAGAGAGACACACAGAGAGACACAGAGGGAGACACACAGAGAGACACAGAGGGAGACACAGAGGGAGACACACAGAGAGACACAGAGAGACACAGAGAGACACAGAGGGAGACACACAGAGAGACACACAGAGAGACACAGAGGGAGACACAGAGGGAGACACACAGAGAGACACACAGAGAGACACAGAGGGAGACACACAGAGAGACACAGAGGGAGACACAGAGGGAGACACACAGAGAGACACAGAGAGACACACAAAGAGACACAGAGGGAGACACAGAGGGAGACACAGAGGGAGACACAGAGAGACACAGAGAGACACACAAACACAGAGAGACTGAGAGAGACACACAGAGAGAGACACACAGAGAGAGACACAGAGGGAGACACACAGAGAGAGACACAGAGGGAGACACACAGAGAGACACACAGAGAGACACAGAGGGAGACACAGAGAGAGACAGAGAGACACAGAGGGAGACACACAGAGAGAGAGAGAGACACAGAGAGAGAGAGAGACACACAGAGAGAGACAGAGGGAGACACACAGAGAGACACACAGAGAGACACAGAGGGAGACACACAGAGAGACACAGAGGGAGACACAGAGGGAGACACACAGAGAGACACAGAGAGACACACAAAGAGACACAGAGGGAGACACAGAGGGAGACACAGAGGGAGACACAGAGAGACACAGAGAGACACACAAACACAGAGAGACTGAGAGAGACACACAGAGAGAGACACAGAGGGAGACACACAGAGAGAGACACAGAGGGAGACACACAGAGAGACACAGAGAGACACAGAGAGACACAGAGGGAGACACACAGAGAGACACACAGAGAGACACAGAGGGAGACACAGAGGGAGACACACAGAGAGACACACAGAGAGACACAGAGTGAGACACACAGAGAGACACAGAGTGAGACACAGAGGGAGACACACAGAGAGACACAGAGAGACACACAAAGAGACACAGAGGGAGACACAGAGGGAGACACAGAGGGAGACACAGAGAGACACAGAGAGACACACAAACACAGAGAGACTGAGAGAGACACACAGAGAGAGACACACAGAGAGAGACACAGAGGGAGACACACAGAGAGAGACACAGAGGGAGACACACAGAGAGACACACAGAGAGACACAGAGGGAGACACAGAGAGAGACAGAGAGACACAGAGGGAGACACACAGAGAGAGAGAGAGACACAGAGAGAGAGAGAGACACACAGAGAGACACAGAGGGAGACACACAGAGAGACACAGAGGGAGACACACAGAGAGACACAGAGGGAGACACAGAGGGAGACACACAGAGAGACACAGAGAGACACACAAAGAGACACAGAGGGAGACACAGAGGGAGACACAGAGGGAGACACAGAGAGACACAGAGAGACACACAAACACAGAGAGACTGAGAGAGACACACAGAGAGAGACACACAGAGAGAGACACAGAGGGAGACACACAGAGAGAGACACAGAGGGAGACACACAGAGAGACACACAGAGAGACACAGAGGGAGACACAGAGAGAGACAGAGAGACACAGAGGGAGACACACAGAGAGAGAGAGAGACACAGAGAGAGAGAGAGACACACAGAGAGACACAGAGGGAGACACACAGAGAGACACAGAGGGAGACACACAGAGAGACACAGAGGGAGACACAGAGGGAGACACACAGAGAGACACAGAGAGACACACAAAGAGACACAGAGGGAGACACAGAGGGAGACACAGAGGGAGACACAGAGAGACACAGAGAGACACACAAACACAGAGAGACTGAGAGAGACACACAGAGAGAGACACACAGAGAGAGACACAGAGGGAGACACACAGAGAGAGACACAGAGGGAGACACACAGAGAGACACACAGAGAGACACAGAGGGAGACACAGAGAGAGACAGAGAGACACAGAGGGAGACACACAGAGAGAGAGAGAGACACACAGAGAGAGAGAGAGACACACAGAGAGAGACAGAGGGAGACACACAGAGAGACACACAGAGAGACACAGAGGGAGACACACAGAGAGACACAGAGGGAGACACAGAGGGAGACACACAGAGAGACACAGAGAGACACACAAACACAGAGAGACTGAGAGAGACACACAGAGAGAGACACACAGAGAGAGACACAGAGGGAGACACACAGAGAGAGACACAGAGGGAGACACACAGAGAGACACAGAGGGAGACACACAGAGAGACACAGAGGGAGACACAGAGGGAGACACACAGAGAGACACAGAGAGACACACAAAGAGACACAGAGGGAGACACAGAGGGAGACACAGAGGGAGACACAGAGAGACACAGAGAGACACACAAACACAGAGAGACTGAGAGAGACACACAGAGAGAGACACACAGAGAGAGACACAGAGGGAGACACACAGAGAGAGACACAGAGGGAGACACACAGAGAGAGAGAGAGACACAGAGAGAGAGAGAGACACACAGAGAGACACAGAGGGAGACACACAGAGAGACACAGAGAGACACAGAGAGACACAGAGGGAGACACACAGAGAGACACACAGAGAGACACAGAGGGAGACACAGAGGGAGACACACAGAGAGACACACAGAGAGACACAGAGGGAGACACACAGAGAGACACAGAGGGAGACACAGAGGGAGACACACAGAGAGACACAGAGAGACACACAAAGAGACACAGAGGGAGACACAGAGTGAGACACAGAGGGAGACACAGAGAGACACAGAGAGACACACAAACACAGAGAGACTGAGAGAGACACACAGAGAGAGACACACAGAGAGAGACACAGAGGGAGACACACAGAGAGAGACACAGAGGGAGACACACAGAGAGACACAGAGGGAGACACACAGAGAGACACAGAGGGAGACACACAGAGAGACACACAGAGAGACACAGAGGGAGACACAGAGGGAGACACACAGAGAGACACACAGAGAGACACAGAGGGAGACACACAGAGAGAGAGAGAGACACAGAGAGAGAGAGAGACACACAGAGAGACACAGAGGGAGACACACAGAGAGACACAGAGGGAGACACACAGAGAGAGACAGAGAGAGAGACAGAGAGACACACAGAGAGACACACAGAGAGACACAGAGGGAGACACACAGAGAGACACAGAGGGAGACACAGAGGGAGACACACAGAGAGACACAGAGAGACAACACAGAGAGAGACACAGAGGGAGACACAGAGGGAGACACAGAGGGAGACACAGAGAGACACAGAGAGACACACAAACACAGAGAGACTGAGAGAGACACACAGAGAGAGACACACAGAGAGAGACACAGAGGGAGACACACAGAGAGAGACACAGAGGGAGACACACAGAGAGACACACAGAGAGACACAGAGGG